GGGTGGAAGATGGCCGTTATAGACAGAGCTCAAGCCTCTTTTTTTCTGCTTTGGAATTTCTGTCTCACTCCCCTCTCTCCTCTCCACTATATCCCCTCACTCTCTGTCTCTCCTTATTTCACGGGTTTTTTTTTTATGTGGGTCTGAGGCCACATTTCAAAATACAAAGGACAAGCTATTCTTTTCTTTTTCTTTTCTCCACCCAGGCCACCATTCAGAACACAACCACATGCTTCCCTTTCTTTCTTTTCTTTATTCTCCATCCACACAACATATAGAATATATTCCCCACATGATTCTCATCATTCATCCCACTACAAAAAAACAAAAAAAAAAAAACAAAAAAAAAAAAAAAAACAAAACAAAACAAAACAACCTCACCCCGATCTTTCCACCTTACCCATCCAATAATATTGGCTTTTATCTATTTTCTTTTATTCTTTTATTTTATTTTTCTTATTCTCCAAAAACCCCAACACCAAAATCAAACACCAAAACATTCCACACACTTGTCATTTCTCATGCCGGGATCCAACCCAATCACAATTTTACACAAAAAAAAAAAAAAAAAAAAAAAACAAACAAACAAAAAACAAACAACCAAATCAACAACCACACCCACCGGCGGGATTTTTTCTATCCCTTCTCTACTCTGCCGCGTCCTCTTCTTCTTGCCTCCGTCCTGGGCAGCCCTTGCCGGTGTGTGCCTCCGTGTTTCCCACTCCACTGGGCACGATCACTCCACCTGCTCTACAGCATATGGGCCCTCCAAAACGGAACATCACGGGTGGCCTTCCGTTTCAGCTCCTTGTTTCTGCCCTTATGCACGCTAATCTCTGCTCGCGCATCCTTTACATCGCGTGGGCAGAGCCAGCTGGGAGTTTAAATTGCCTGCACCTCATTTGTCCTACTCTGCAGCCGGTGCGACAAGTTTGTGACCGCCGTCATGGACTCCACATCATGCCTTCAAAGTATACTGATTAGCCTCCACATCCGTTTGCACCTGGCATTTTTTGCTCCACCGACTGCATCGGAAAGTTCAACCGGAGCAAACCCAGTGTGTTTGGTTGAGGTCGCGGGACACCGCACCAGTTCTCTCTCCTGTGGACTCGTTGAGATCGGGAAAGAG